GTCCCTTGTCAGCTGACCCAAAGGACGCAGGGCCCTGGGCACATCTAAGCCCCAGGCCTGGGGCTGGCAGGGAGAGTTCTCTGGCAGCTGCTGGAGAAGCAGCTCATGCAGGAAAGGAAAGAAAGGCTCTAGTCTGTGACAGTTTGGCTGCCTGAGATGCTGCTGGTGCAACTGTGCTGCTCACTAAGTTTATTATATTTACCTGTGTTGTTTAAAATGGTGGACCAGACTGAGGCTGTAGGGGAGGAGGAGGCCTCATTGGGACACACTACCATGTTGTGTAGAAGGCCCAGTGCCAGTGAAGCACACCTTAATACACACACACACAGTGTCACCCATGTCACAAGTTTTGCTTGTCAGCAGCCTGAGGTGCAGTTTCCCAGAAACCCCTGCACCTATCTCTTTGAAACCTGGCAAGCTTTGTGGCCTCAGCAGGGCCTTATGCCTGCTGTTTTGCCCCTCTGCCTTCACATGTACAAGTGACATGAGTTTTGCTTTCAAGACTTTAGTATAGTTTCCCCACAAACTCCTGCACCTATCTCCTTGAAAGCTGGCAGGCGGCATGTTCTCAGAAGGGGCTACCATCCCTGATGTTTTCATCCAAATATGCCAAAAAATAACAAATTTATAGGCAGTTTTGTACTTCCCTATTGTAGCCTATGGGCTAAACGTCAAAAAAGTGAAACAGTTTTGATTAAACGAAACAGAACAGTGCTTTGAAAATGAAACAAAACTCAAAATGAAACACTGTTCCATCGAAATGGCAAAATGGAAGTTGAAACACAACTGCTTTTTCACACAGCCCTAGTAATTACAGTACATCAGAGCAGACTCAATTAATTAATTAAGTCTGCTGGCATGTGGTAATTACTGCGCTCTGCTACTGGAGCATGATAATTACCATGCTCCAGCATCATGTGTATCACTATCCCCTCCCTGGAAAATAGCGACAGAGGTGCTTTAACTAAAGCTTGTCAAACTTTAGTTAAAGTGCCTCTGCCACCATTTTTGAGCATGGAGACACTGATTAAAGAGAAGCTCCAGGAACTTTAATTAGAGTGGTTCTCAAAGTGACACTAATTAAAGCTCCTCCCACCCCCCCCATCCCGCCCCACTCCTGGAGCACATGTGTAAACACCCCAGTGACTATTCATGCAATTAGCTGATGTATGAGTGAGACTGATACTTCAGTAAATCTGGCTTAAAAAAAATTCCCTCTGATTATACTCATGAGTACTGTTGTGTTAAATGTTGAAGCACTGTCTGCCTGAGCAAAGCAGAGGGCTGGACTCTGATCATGTGAGGTCCCTTCCAACCCTAATGTCTATCAATCTATGAATCAAAGTGTACCTTTAAAATGATGAGAAATATACCATAGGGCAGCTTAAGACTCTTGGTTAAGTCTACTTTAAATGTATCACATTCTGAAAACATCAGTCATTGAGAGTAAAGCTTGAGCAAATGTGTTTCCTATTGACACAATGCCTAAACCAGTTTAGGCATAACAACATAATTCACACCAACTTCAACTGTCATGCCTTTCAGGCCAAAGGTGAACATTCATTCTCTCAACAGAGTCTTTATAAAGTTAATTGAACTGTCCAAGAAGCACAATTCCCATTCTTCATAACTGCATTCAAATGCAAGGTATATTTCCTTCATGAAGCAACAGTGGGAAGAGGTTAAACACAGGGGGGAAAATGAGGTCTGAGTTTAAGTTTTGAACTTAAATGCAGTTCTGAGAAACTTGGTATCCATGTTGTAGTGGGCTGGATGAGGCTAGAAAGGCATTTGTGAGTCAGCTGAAACAGACTGAGGGTGCATGGGGTAAACTGATGTAGATGTTAATGTTCCCTTAATTTGTTCTTCTCTTGATTTTTAAATTTTTATTTCAATGGTAGGAAATGTGCTTGAGCAGGCCACGTGCTAATGTTAATTTTTTGCAGAGGAATATTTTCATTTGAAAACTACAAGGAAATCTTCACCTTAAGAGCTCCTGTCCTAATTCTGCAGCCCTCCCTACATGCACATGTTTTAAGTCTTGTGGTCAACCTTGCTGATTTTTCTAGCCTCTTTTCAGACCCCTTCCTTTTTCATCCATTCAGGACATTCTCTCTTCCCACGCAGGACATCCCTGAAAGTCTGAGCTGAGCAGTGGTGTTCCTTGCATCTGCTGGCTCTCTTTGTACAGCCAACCCCACCATGTAGCCTACTTTCACATTTCTTCCCTTCCCTTATCAGTGGAAAGATATCAGGGTGGATGGACCAGTCCTTGCTGCCACAGAAATGAGCTAGATAGTGATGTGGGGAAAGGCTGTCTAGTTGGGCCAGGAAGTCTAGTATTGAATCTGGTGGTCTTGACACAACAGGGAGCAGGATATAGTGGGGTGGGTGTGGGAGGAGGGGCGGGGGTAGAGAGCAAGTATTGCAGCTCAAGCTGATGGCAGAGCAGAGCTTGTTGCTTCCAGAAACTGTTCTTGATCTGGTCATGTAGCAAACTTGTGGTTCACCAGAAACAAAGCTATCTGACAATCCTTTGTACCCAAGAATCTGCAAAGTAGAATGTGCCATGCTGTTCATTCTTATTTCTGAGTAATGAACTAACACTTGGAAGGAGAGAACTGGGAAAATGAAGTAGTAAGAGCAAGTGTGTTTCACTCAGTGTCCTCCAGCTGAAGGTGTTTCACTCCAGTTGAAGTCTGTTTACATGGTGCATAGCCATCTAAAAGTCCTATGCTATATGCTGCATATGTTGCACAGAAGCATGTGCATTGTGCGATCCGTTATCACTCGCACTGCACCTGCAGGCTTTTCCTGTACAAAACAAATTAGTGGCCTGCAATGAAAAGTGATGACCACTTCTGCTGCCACTGGCTTGAATTAAGCTCCAAAGTCTTCACTAGAACTCTCACAAGTGTTCATGGGCATAACTGAGTACATAGTTCTTACCTGGACGCGTGTTTCTGGATTCCTGTATGAATACACTGTATGCACAACATGTTTTTTGCAGAAATTGCTAGCAGCTAAGGAAAATCAAGAAGAAGAACTGATGATGTACTTGGGAAAGCTTTATGATGCGTTTCAAGAAGTCTAAGTACCAAATAGTCCCCATGGAATGAATTGCAGGCTACTTTTCCTAGATGGTTGCAACACAGTAGCTGGGAGGATTGAAATGAAAGTAGGCATTATTTTTGTTGTTTTCTTGCTTTCCAGTATTTTGACAAGCATGCAAATTATTCTTGAATTCCTAGAGATGGCTTCTCTAAGTCTAATGCCGAGGTACATGGGTAGGACAACCTAAGAGAAACTCAAACGGGCACTGCTGATGCTGTTCCCATTCTGGGAATAGAAGTGCATTAATCTCCAGGCTGTCTATTAAGCCCTAAAAATGGATGGATGGAATTCTCAAATGGAACATTACATTATTGACCTCCCTTGCAACTGGGGGAGAAACCCCAGGCACCACCTTTGAGGTGTGAGAGGGAGGAGCACAAAAATAGCCACTGCTGCAGCTGTGGCTGACCATGCTGCTGCCATGGGCACCATGGCAGCCAGTGCTGCCCAATGCATCGTGGCTGACCCAGGCATGGAGATGCCTTGCTGTGCCTCTGTCAAGATTTACTTAGATATTTGAACTGAATAAGCCAACTGCTTCATCAAAAGGTGGGTTGGACCTTCCAGTTCCTGGTAGATGAGCCATTTGCACACTGTAGACATTCCCCTGGATAAGTGAAAGGAAATCAATGTTTGTTTTCCAAGGAAAGAGAAGATAGGAGCTGAACAAACTGAATTTTACCTGCAAAGATTATTTACTCCTCAAGTGATAGATGTCTTAGCTTCTTATGTTTCCCTACCACAAAATGTATGGCCTTCTGTGTTAAAAGAATGCATGGTAATGTGCATGAGAGCTCTCTTGCAGTTAGTACATTTGGTGGTAAGGTGGTGAAGCACTTCCTGTTTAGCTACAGAAATCTTACCTTCCAAATCAAACTTGGGTCTGTGGGGAGTTCACTTACCTAATGTTCCCACTCTTGCATATGCCTTCCGAGTTAACGGCTGCCTGCTTCCCATTTTAGCATGCTTCCTGCAATTATTCTGATATAAGTCATTTCAGACTGTTCTCCCCTCTGATTTGTAGCTCATGACATCCTTTAACTGACCACCAGATGTCATTAGGCATTCATTTCTGCTCCCCTGTCCCCAAACATGCTGTGGCTAGTGTTATGAAATTTAGTGATCTTAGTTACAAAGGCATACAATAGAGAAGTATGGCATATAATAAAACAGAACATTTGATGTTATTTTTTTCCAGGAGATAAGTCTTTCTCTCTTTCCTTTTAACAAATGATATTAATGAGATATTCAATGCATGAATTCTTCAATTCTCATGTTTTTCAACTGAGAACTTGGTCTAATAACCTTTGTGGGGAAAATTTCCACCAACTTCAATGAAGGTTTTGCCTACCTAGGTAGTATGATTTGGCTCGGACCAAAAAAAAAAAAAAAAAAAAAAAAAAAAAAAAAAAAAGCAGACTTGAAAAAAGGCATAGGGATAATAAATATTCTTTACTAGCAGTAGAGCAAAAATCAGAAACCTATTAATATCTGTGGTGTTAAATGGAATTACACAAAGATACCATATGTTCACAAATAAGTATTTCTCTTTTTTCCATTAACCTAAGTGCAAATCATCCAGCTTGTTGCACATACCCTGAAAACAGCAGAACTAGTACATCCTTCCTTTTCAGTTGCGGTCTGCATTTTAACCAAGTTGAAGACTCTCTCATTGTTGCAGCACTAAACCTGTTTTTACAAATACTGGTTGGTACCTGTTTCAGTACATCACTTGCAGAAGCGTGATATTGGAGCTGGAGCTAAACAAATGCTGCAAACCACTTGCACAAATATGCTTTTGAATTTCAAGCATCAGATCTCTCTCTTCTCTCCAAAGATAAATGTGGAGGGAGTTCTGTTTGTATCCAGCTCCGGAGCTAAAACGTTTATTATTTTCTTTATACAGTTACACACATTTTTACATGATCCAAAGTTAGCTTGCATGATTGAAAGCTGCTATCCTTAATCATTTATTGTTTGCTGATGCAAAGTTTTCATTGTCCGTTTTTAGGACAGAGGCAACAACACGTCTTGGGTAACCAAAAACAGCCCCAGAATAATGAGTAATGACTGCTTTATGAGAACAGTTTGTGAACAGCCATTTGTCTACAAAAAAATGCTCATGACCATTATGAAAAGTGAATCAACATAAAATAATTCTTATAAATGAACTAACTGTAGTAGACAAATTGATAAACAGCTCTTTTTCCTCTTTGCCTATTTCACCCCCCATCCCCAGCACAATGAATTGTCCTGACCAAGTCTGTCTTCCATGCGAAATGTATCTCAATCACTCAACATAAATTGTTCAGTTCAATATGAAAGTTATGGGGGCAGAAAAAATAAGTGGCACAGGTAAGGAAGACTCTTTCAGATGAAATTCTGAAAGACTCATGAATGTGCTGAGATGAACGAGATGGCAAGACTGAAAAAGCATGAATGTTTTTGCAGAAATAGTTTTGAGGGAATCTGACAGGAGGCTCTGAGTAAAGTTGAAAGTGATACGGTGTCAGAAGTAGGCATGAGTTGCTTACCTCTGGCAGGGTTTATAAAAATGAAAGCGCTTCTTAACTAGGTCCTCAACTGATGTGAGGATGAATTCATGGCTCTTTTCATGTATGAGAATGTGGACAGCAGCATTCTGCCTCTGTTGGCACATGGATAGCACGCTTCTAGGAAAGCCATAGAAAAGTGAGTCTCTGCTTCCTTGTGCTGGAGGGAGGGATCTATGTGTCAGTAATAGAGCTTGCAATATCATCTCCATTACCTGTAAATGCATCCATTTAATGTATGCATTTATTATATTCATTCATTCAAGAGCTTAAGTACATTCCACCACTTCCCCCATCCTCCTTTATGTTCATACTTCTCCATTACCACTGATTACTCCATGATCATTCTTCATGTTATCTAGATAACTTTTCCTAAACTGGCTGGTGGTTAAGAAAAATAGCCTAGCATTAAAAAACAAAACAACAAAAAACAGCTTGTTGTTGGTTAGTAGCAGTTTTATACATTCCTGGGGTTCATAGAAAACTTCTAAAGACATGTAGTCTTTTAAGCTTTAAATATTTGTTCTAGCAAAATGTGAATCTGCAAAAACTCCATGAACAAAAATAATCCATTATTTCTCCGAGATGGAACTAGTATAGCTCACTTGGCCTTTTATAATTTGGAAAAAAAAAATCAATATTGCTATGCATTCAGTAGTCTTACTTTTTAAAAAAAATGTGATCTGTCCAAGGGTTCACCTAGCTCTGGGCTATATTTGAATAGAGACAAAGAGACTTTCCAAGAACATGAGAGTTTCAAATACATTCACAAGGATGATGGGAAAAACCTATGCACTTGTTAATACAGAGCTATCCACGTGAGCTCCTTTAAAGTGTGAATTCCAGAACATATCATCAGAATGATTATGTTCTTCTAAACAAAGAGAAACTCCCCTAGATAAAAAGTAAAGATGTCCCTGTGGTGAAATTGGAGTCCTAGTGGAGCGCACAACATTAAGGTATTGGCTAAAGGACGGAGTTGTCACTACCCAACTTATTTCTTCACATTAATAGCAGCATATTCTGTAAGTTCAGTATTTACATCTAGCGCTCTTGGCAGAAAATTTTCTGCAACAGCAGAATGATTTAGTGAAGCATAAACGATGGACTCTAGGCTCTCTGTTAAGCGTGGTTTAGAAGGAATAGCAGATTTGTCACAGGCAGGCCTTGGTCCTGCCCCATGACCATTCCAGTGAGGAACATCATTGTCATAAACTGCACTTCCATCTGTCAGCTGCAGTTGGCTTTTCATGATACAATAGTCAAATGTACCCCCTTCATTTTGAGCTGCAGGAGTCCTGTTGATGTGGGATTGGACATCTGTAGAGCTGTTGACCTGCAAGAGAACAAAATGGGGTTTAGTTCTGTATGAAACTGTGTATTGGGTATGGACCTGGCAGGTGGAGCGTAAGTATGAGATGGTGTTGAGTTCATGCACTAAATGTTAGGAAAATATTAGAAAGCATTGACTAACACACCTCTAGCCATTCTCTACCTTGTTCACCAAAGTCAGTCTTGTCTTCTTTCTTCTCCTCTTCTTTCTCCCTCTTTATATGATCTCATTAATCTCAGGGCAAAACCCCAAGCTCATCTATTTGACTTTTATGGCTCATCACTCTTCTCGCTTCGGTCTCAGAATCCAAGATTCTCCCTTTCTCTCAACTTGCCCTCACTCTTCCCATCTTCTAAACTCCCTTCTCTTCTGTCATTGCCTAAATTTCTTTTTTCCTTATCCAGATTCTTTAAATCTGCTTATTAACTGGTGTATTGCTGATCCTAGAGACCTCTACTTGGCCCCACTTGCTCACCCACTTACATTCCATCTCTGTTCTGTCATGTTCTGTTCCTGGTGCTTTAATGTGCTTTTCTCTAAATGACTCTTTGAACACCCTGCATTTTGCCATATGTTGTTTCAGCTCCTCAGCAAATTCTCCAAATATCAAATCATCTCATGCTAGCCACTTACAGGAGCCTCTTCTTTTTGCTCAGCCTCCTCTCCTTGTGTGCAATATGGCATTTCTCCTCCACTCTAGGATTTGATTCAGTTTTCCTGTCTTTTCTCCTCTGCTCACTGCTGCGCTCTTCCTCTCTCTCTCTCTCTCCCCCCCCTCCCCACCCCCAACCTGTTCTTGCCATGCATCAGTCCCCCACTGGTAATTCTTTTCCTTTCCTTCTGTCTGAGGGATTTGTCTCTTTTCCCTTCTACTCCCCAAATACCACTGGTTCCCCTTGGACAATTCTTCAAGGTCTCTTCTCTTACCTGGACTATAGCAAGGCCTCATTCATCTTGTCCTATGACTTCTCAGCCCTTAATGGTCTGTAGTTTCTACTAATCCCACCTTTCTTTGTTTGCATCTCAAAAACATCCTTTACTTTTTGCTTTCTCTGATTTCCACATCAAATTCAAACTTCTTGCCCTCCTTTTCATTGTTCTGCCTAACTCTGGTCTTACTGCGTCTCTCCTTTTTGTCTTTTTAATCCCCCCTTTCCAATGACAGTGTCCTATCCAGGCTCCTCTCCTGAAAATCCCCATACTGAACCTCTTTGTATCTTCCACATTTCCCCATATGCCCAGCCCTCCATTCCTATGTCCCTGCAGGATCCTATCTCAATTAGATTTCTTCCACCCATTCTTGCACTGCTACAACCCAACAACTATAGAACACTTTTTTTATATAAATGTTTTTCACTTAAATTTTTCACTTTCACCCTGTGTGTCACATAGTCATGGTATATGCTGTGTCTGAATAAGACAGTTTGCTTTGTGAGGTAAGCAACTGCATTCCTTTGTTCCTACAACATAAAGCATGCTTTCAGCACTCCATAATTACACAGTTTATACTATGGCAGTGGTTTAGTGCTGTATTTTTAGTGCTAATATTGTGAAACACTCCACAGCCTTCAAAAAAACCCAAAACCTTGCAGCACCCTGGTTGAGAATCTTTATGGAAAGGTTTGGTACTACAGCAGAGCTCAAGCATACCATGTTTATTTCTGCCTGTGAAGTTGCTGGAGTTGTCTTAGATTTCACTGAAAGAAAGAAAAGAAAAATTGTCAGTGAACTATTGTGTGATTCGTCTTCTAGTAGGAAGGGGGTTGTGGACACTACTAAAACATCTTCTTCCTCGGGGCTAGGGACAGACATTAAACATAAACCGGCTTAAGTGATCAGAACCTGGTTTAAACCTGTAACAACAGATGCTTAGTGCACATAAACCAGTTTGAATGGCTGAAACCAGCTTGAGATAAACCTGATTGAATGTAGTATCAGACTTAACTGATTTGGCTCAAACTGGTTTATGCAATGTCTGTCCCAGACCCCTTGCTGGTTTAAGATAAACCAGAGGCCCCCAGCATCCTGACATGCTCTATGGGCTGGGTGGGGCTTTCTGCTCCACAGCAGGGCTGGCCCCTCCCCTCTGATCCCTGGCTGCAGCTCCAGAGACTGCAGGCTGCTTTCCCTCTCTCCTTGTCTCCCCACTGAGCAGGAATTCTCCACTTCCCTCTGCTTTGCTGAGAGGTGTCTGTATTAGCTAGCAGACCACATGCTGGCTATGGTCTGTTCTGAGTCAACAGGTAGAATCACCAGGCAGAATCAACAAGTAGCTGGTAATGTCCCTCTGTTCTTTTCTTAATTGGGTGATAAACACTGTTATCAATTCCCTGCTAAACTAATCACAGCGTCCTGCCTGAGCCTGGCCACCCCCCTCCCCACCAGCTCCATACTGTGGAAGGAAGGAAGGGCTGCTCTAGTGCCACCCCACCCCACCCCAGCTTCTAGCCTGAGCCACTGCAGGCATGTGCTTGCATTTCTGGGATGTCTGTCCAGTTACAAAACTGATTTAGCCTAGCCAGGTTAGACTAACCTGCAAAGATTGAATCAATTCAGGCTCAGGCTTTTTGAATGTATGTCCCTACCCTAGGTGATCCAGCTCCAAAATGGAAAATATGTGTTAGTGTAATCAAATTAGATGCTATATTGACAACAGTAAATAAACAAGAATTGGGAAATGTGATGGGGAGTTTGTAGAATATGTTTGTTTCACTACATAGCTCTTTTGAATATGAGAAGAGAGCATTCCAGCATACTGGGGAAAACCTCCCCCATGATAACTGATGGGGAAGGATTTCCAATCTCGGGCATTAATCATGGAATACATTCAAAGTCATGCCATCCACCATGCAAGTATAACACCTTGTACTGGGAAGTCAAAAATTGTGTGTGTGTGTGTGTGTGTGTATATATGTGTATATATATTATTATTCAAAAGTAGGAAAGAGAAATTAATACTACCTCTCATTGAAATCAGGGTGTATTTGAACTATGGGATCTATTTCTGAGGTGCTGGTGAATACCATCCAGTACAACAGCTTAAGAGGAGAAGAAGAATAATGGAACTGACTGAAAACTCAGAGAGAAATAAGAGGGGCAGAATGCACTTAAATGGGTTTTGACTAATAATAGAGTTAACTCTCCTTCTCAGACATTGTTGCATGTTCAATGACTCTTCCTCAAAATAGAAAAAAAAATAATGGTGCTGTTTGAAACAATTAAAGAGATGGGGTTTAAGGTTTAAGTTTTGTTTTGTGTTTATTCATACTTCTTCCTCTCTGCCTGGATTATGCATGTGAGAGGAGTGAAACTGCCAAAGAATCATCCCTGTAAACAGCTAGGTTTCTGCCAGAAAATGTCATCAACCAGTTTTGACTCTTAGGGCACATCTACATGTCGCCCTATAGTAACGTTGTTACTGCATTGTGCTTTAGTACTTCCAAAGGGAAGTACTAAAGTATGGTGCAGTAACCACCCATACTGCACTGTGTGTATGGTGCATGGTTAGTTTTGGCCACTACTTCGCCATAGCAGCACACTAAACTGGGGGAGAGCAATGCTCCAGCAAAGTAGCTACTGGTCACATGTACACTCATGTAATTGCTACATCACCATAGCATGATGTATGGTGATGTAGGGTGACACATAGATGTGCCCTTGGAGAAATAGATACCTCACAATAAGGACAGCAGAAAAAAGCTACAGGAGCAATAGGTGAAATGGAGGGAGTGCTCACCTTTGTGCCATTTGAGATAACATAGGCATATCAGGATGAGTAGAAAGAATGCCCCCAGAGATGATGTGCCATAAATAATCCACTTCATATTGTCATTTTTATATCCTTGGGGATTTTCTTGGATGCTGGTGGTATCTGCAAGTTCCACTGAAATGTGTTAGTATGTAGTAGAGAATGTTAGCTGAGTTATTTTGATCCATCTAATCAGTTTTAAATAGTTTAATTCATTAATTGCTTAATCTCCTAAGAGGACATTTTGAGATCATCCTTAATTGGGGTAGCTAAACAAGCATTCTACAGAGCAGTGAATGAAGGAATGTACTTAGTGGATTGTGAAAGGCTGGCTGAAAAACAGGGGGTTAGTACTAGGAAGCTACTCAAGACTGCTGTAGACTCTAAACTGTTTCCTCCTTCTTCAGTTATCCCTTTCCTAAACACTGCAGTGTAAACAAGCCTGAACTGTAGAGCTGTACAAAATAGAAAACTGAAAAAAACCCCAAACCTCACTTAAACAGAGAAGAAAATCTAACATTCACAATTCTAAAGGCAAGCATCTGTTTCTCAGATTTCTGACTGGCAGTAGCCTAATTTTTCACAGTGCTGAGTTCCCATTGAAGCTAAACTCTTGGCGCTCTTGAAAAAAACAACCACACGTGTAGATGTTTCGGTCTTTATTCTGAAGTCTATCCTTAACCTCCCATATGAAAGATGGCAGAATGAAAAGGAGGAGTCAGACTAGTGGGGTGAGGGCTATATTTATGTACTGGGCACTCCATGTACATAGTGCTAAAATTGAGGAGGACAGTAAGCGAAATAGGGTGAAAAAGGAAAAGGGCAGAAAGATAATAAAAACCATATCCCTTTATCTCTGTTTTAAATGCTTATAACATACAGGATGCATGGTTTCTTTTTCTGTAAATGAGGTCTCTGCTGTGGACCATTGGTGTAAGGTATCTGCTGGCATACAGTGTGTGGGTAACATCACTGAATAGGCCCAGCAGATGATCAGATTATGGCTTTAGGTAATTATTTTCCACAACCACAAGTAAAAGTGTGTTTACATCATAACACAGTAGGCCTCTTCCCAGTAGGGACAGCCTGCGGGTTATGTAGGAGGACTCTGTGTTACATGTGTGAGAGAAATGAAAAGTATGTGCTGTGGAGCTTCTGCTAGAGAATATTTTACTGGCTTTGCCTCTCTCCTACTGACATATCTATAAGCTGTCTGGGGCAACAGCAGGAGGCGCTGGAAGCTCTGGGGATAATAGGCTTGGAAACTGATCACAGTGAGTTTTATTCCAAGCAAAGCACTTTATCAGGTAACAACTGGTGATTTGGCATTTTGGTTAAATAGAACTCCTGCATATGCAAAAAAATCCACACAAAATGCTCATATAAAAACTGGGTACTTCCCTTATTTTAGGAAAATAAAACTCATAACGTACTTGTTGATGGATTTGCAGAGGTACTTGTATCTCCTTCTGAAACAGAAAAGGAGAGGGAAATGAAACATGTCTGAGACTGCGTGACATTCTCTTCTCAGGTTAGGTTTTCTACCCTCAGACAGTAATGTTTCCCCTTAACTGAAGGAAATAACATGACAAGAAAGAAGAAATGTAGTTGATGGGATAGAAGACAGTACTTGTCTTTTAGTGCTGCCTGAGAAATACTTGAATATTTTATTCTGACTTCCTTGATATGACTTAAAAAAATATAAAGCTAAGTGGAATAATGTTCTAATAGTATTAGTTTCACCATACTTGTGAATGCTCTTTTTCTTATTTCTTTCTTATTTTCTTATTTATTTCATGCTTTCTCTCGGGACATGTCTACTTCACCTCAACAACACTGGAGAGCATTGCAGTGAAAGATGCCACATCCACCTTGTGCACTTAGTACCCCAAATGAATATAATGTAGCTCCATTACTGTAGCATTGGACATGCATCAATAAACTCTCCCAGGAACGCAAGTTCACTGGTGTGTATACAGTGCCACTCTGAGGGGGCTATCATGCATCTACTTCAGGGAACAGAAAATGCAAATTGGGCCTGACAGCTTAGACTGTCTCTCTTAGACTGATCTTTCCTGATTGTTTCTTCCCCTCTGTTCTGGTGTCCTTGTCTACCAGCAAGCACCATACGTGCCCCAGATGATTCATATGACTTACGACCAGACCATCCTTTCCTAATCTTTCTTGCCCATGACTGATGTTTCCTACTACTAGATAGGCCATTCACATGTCACCTTAAATCTCAAGAGATTCTAAAATCTTCCTGTGACCATATTTTCCTTTTGTGATCCTTTTGTGTCCTGCTCGATCTTTTACCACTGACCAAAGAGGGAAGACAGTGATGGGAACATCATGAAGTGAGTGATACTTGATTACTTTAATAGCTAATGGCATGGGAAATTATTCCTAAATAGTCCTTGCACTAACTTTGTTTCTATACCACTGAATAACATGCTTGGAGAAAAAAATGATCAACCAGGGTGAACGTTTTATACTCCAGATCAATTTGAATAAAGAGAAGACCTTCACAATAAAGGAGCCTCAAAAACTTACCTAAAATGGTAACATTTACTGAATGGCTTATACTGCTTATATTGCCTGATATTGCTTGACAACGGTAAAGTCCACTGTCATTCTGATGAACTGAGGAAAATGTCAGAACAAATACACCATTTCCAGTCCATTTTGTGTAGGTTTCCCTGGTTTGCAGAAGTAAGCATCCGTTCCCTTCTACTTTGCACCAAGACATGGATGGCTTTTCATGGCAGTATTTTACTGGACATTCTATAGTTGCAACTTGCCCAGATTTGCCTGTATATCGGGACTGCCTTTTAATCAAAACTTCAACAGGACAGGTTTCTCCTGGAAAAGACAAAAACCATGTAAAAATATTATTTGTTTCATATTGTATATTGCCCAATAACTCTTTTATTCTCTTCTGACTCTCATTACTTCTTACTTGAATTCTCTATGTATTATATCTATCTAGACCCTGACAACTTTTACATTAATGGTGTGATTAATATGTAAATTGCAGCATAAATTATAACATGCCACTTGTTCAGCCAATTTATGGTGTAATAAAATGACAAACCATCAACAAAGATATCACACATTTATTGTGGAACCTCTTTGTAGATGGTTTATATCATGCTTTAAATTGAATATGTGGCATGTGCCCCTGACCTGGACCTGCCCTATGCCCCATCTTGATGATCAGGTGATCATTAGAATAGGGTATGAGGCAGCTTCAGATTCTGGGGGACAGCTATCCCATTCCAAATCCTCAGAGTCAGGCAGAAGACAGCCTGGGTGCTGAAGTGGGACTAGAACTGCCTTATGCCCCATCACAATGAATGGCCATTGCAAGCTCTATCCCTGGGAATTAGACAGGGGCATCCCTGAGTTCTGGGCCTGGTCACCCCTGCCTAATCCTAGAGGTAGCTCCAGATCTAGATCTGGGACCTGGGACTACTCTTCCTGCCTTCACATGGCAGAATGCACATTTTTTGATCCAGTGTAAAATTCCTTAGATTCCAATCATGTGACAATATTAACCTATGCCTGTGGTTCATTTACAGAAGAGATGGTATAGATTATGGCTTCCTTTATCTGAACTAGAAATTGGCTTTCATTACCAAAAAAAATAGGTAACATGAAATAGAACTCTTTGGGTGGAAGAGCAAATGATATGTCATGCAGATTACTTAATTTTTAAATTTTTCATTTTTTCATGCTAGGTCTGTTATTTACAGAGCAAATATAACTCTTGTACAATGTGGTATTTTTCTAATATTGCATAAATAGACTGGGAAAATATCAGGTCCATCTTCACATTTCTCACCCCCTCATGAAGCCATATTTATGAAGTGATGCACTAGTGAGTCTGAGAGGATAATCTGATGAGCAGACCAGCTGAAAGAAAATATAAATTGCATCAATTTTTAGTTTCTCTTACCCAACTTCCTCCCACTGACATTTACTTCCTCTTATTCTTATATACCATACCTCTGAATTTGAAACCATGAACTCCAGCCATTCAGAAGGCAGGTGCTGGGGTTATATGTGCTGGGGTTTTTCTGGTTATTTCTTGTTCAACATTTTTGCTATTCTGGGATTTACTTTAGTTTTCTGTTTCCTGCCTTAAATAGTTTTCAGCATACTACTGCCATTCAGTTATAAAATCAGTGAAAAAGTAACCAAGTTGTGGTTGCTTTGTACTTTCTAGAGGATCAAGTTCAGCAAACCCCCAAATTCTGAAAACTGGGAGACTGAAATATCATAATCTTTTACTATCTGATATTTGATAGTAGACAGTGGCTACTAAAGGAAAAGAATGTTGTACAATTCCTACATCACACGCCTTATTATAATGAAATAGGAATTATGGTAGCTCCTTGATGTCCAACATCTTTGACTGCAGTGTACCTGTATCATAGTTAGGACCTTACTTTAGCTATGTAACACTGTTGTATACTGAACCAACCAACTCCTATGTTCCCAGTCTGCTGCTTACCTGCTGGATTGCCTGACCCTGTTTCAACCATGTTCCTGCTTGGCACACAGTCCATGTCAGTCCCTAGCTAGTCTCTCCAGTACACTCAGATTTGGTGTGTACCTTAATGATATGTTTCCTAGTTTTAGAGATGTATATTTGGGTTGCTTTTGGGTGTACCTGTAGAAATGGGGTCAGGGACAAGGGAAACTCAACCACCAGTAGCTGGCAGAAACAGAAGCTCAGTCTCCCCTCAACCCCTTTTCTTCTATCAAGAGTGGTGCAGTCTCTTCACATCTCAGCAACTGTACAGTTAGCAGGAAGAAGAGCTCAGACTACACAGAAGGGTAAGGCTGCAACAAATTCTGTCTCCTACATGGAAGAACAGACTTTCCCAAGAAAACAGGCCACCAGATCCCTTCAGGAAGTTGGTCAGCAGTTGGTCTCAGGCCCTGAAGGATAGTTCCCCCAGACCCTAAGCATTAATTTTGCATCTTTTTTTATGGTTTTACTGGTTCAGTATGGTACTGAGCATTCTTCCTCAAGAAGGTATGGGGGTAATGCTGTACACTAAGATATAGGCTGTGTGATTGCAGTCCGTTTAAAGCCATCATTTGATCACTCAGATCTGCTCAAAGGACATTGGTGGAATCAGTCAGGTTAGGGACAGACATTCAAAAAGCCTGAGCCTGAACTGATTCACTCTTTACAGGTTAGTCTAAGCTGCAGCTTAAACTGATTAATAACTGGACAGACATTCTCTGTTAAACCAGGAAATGCAGGCACATGCCCAAGGTGGCCCAAACCAGAAGCTGGTAAGTGCTAGAGCATGCCTGCCAGCCACTGCCAAAGTGGGGAGGAAGAAAGACACCCTCCAAGGCTCTCACCCCCCCTCCCCCCGTTGGAGTGGAGTGGATGTGGCCAGGCACCAGCCAGGGCTAGCTAGACACATAGGATGCCAGCCACCAGCCTAGGGGTGGAGGGTGAGCTGCTGCCAGATTGATGAGTGGGGATAGGGAAAAAGTCCTTTCTCTGAAGCAAGCATGTATTGAACACAGCAATTTGCAAAGCATACAACGGGGAACTATGAAAAATGATCACCTAAGATAAGATACAGCCCAGTAAAACCCAGTTGTGTATGCTGATACACAACTTAGTCTAACTTAAAATGTAAAGAAGGAAGATGAGAGAAAGCCTTGCATAAGTCTTACTAATCCTGAGGGCAGAGTGTCTCCTTACAGCCAGGCATTCAGAAAGACTTTGTTTAGGTTTTTACAGGTTCTGCTTGATGATATAAATGTAGCTCTCTGCATTATTTGGTCTGCAACTTCCAGCTGTCTGCAATATACACATATGCATGACGATTTTTGGTCTTTGCCAACACTTCCTACCTTTCAGTCTGGTCCTGCAGGTCTTAGCTCTGGGCTCACAAGTGCAGCTCCTGCTGTGGAATGAATCCCCTCCCTGGCTGCAGGCAAGCTGGAGAGAGGGAGGAATTAACTCTGTCTCTACCTGGCTGCCTGAAAGCCATGGAGGTCTGCCAGGTTTGCCAGCAGTGGGGAGAGGGGATGGAGGGAGAAATATGCCTCAGGGGCCATGGCAGGCCAGCGTCTGGCCATGCCCCACCCCTGCTCTGGCTACGGAGCAGAAAGGAGGGGCCAGCCCTGCTGCGAAGCAAAGAGCCTCACTCATCCCAGAGAGCATGCCTGGATGCTGGGGGTGTTTGATTTGACTTTAACCAGCACAGGGTCTGGGACAGATGTTGCATAAACCAGTTTCAGCCAAATCAGTTAAGTCTGATACTACATTCAACCAGGTTTACCTGAAACCGGTTTCAGCCATTTTCAAACTGGTTTATGTGCACTGACTGTGTTCTGTTACAGGTTTAAATCAGTTTCTGATCACTTAAACCAGTTTATGTGTAAAGTCTGTCCCTAGCATCAGTGGTTAAGTATGCTGTTTTCCTGAGAGGATGCAGGCTGTATGTTGAGGAAAAATTGGACTTAAATGACCCTACATTTGGATCATTAACTGTATTCTGGAGCACTGTGAGGCCCAATTAATTTTCAGACCTAAATAATCATGGCAATTTGAGGTCAATTAAAAGAGTCAACCTTTAAACAGAAAAGGGTTTAAAGAGATTTTCAAAGTGGCCTCTTCATCTCTATGTAATATTATCACTTAAATAAAAATAAACCTTGCTGAAACACTGGCTCTGGGAGCTGTGAACTGCTCCGTTCATCTTACTGGGTGCTCTCATCCCCTCCCCCCTGCCCCACTATCAGTACTTAAAATGTGTGATATATATTAAATATTCCACCCCACTGTGTATTTCTAGGTCTGGCACACCTGTTTGCTTCTTAACAAGGAGGAAGGGCTTGCTTACCCAGATCCCAGTCCACATGGTAGGGCAAGGAGTGTGGCTCAAATATGCCTGGAGAGATTGGTAGCCTCTATGCAGAGGACAAACACAGGGACTTGGATCCTTCTCAGAAGGCAAGCCCTTTCCCAACAAATCCCAGCTTCTATTTGGGCAGCAGTAAGAGGGAGTCAAACCTGACTGGTTAGGCACCCATACTGACAGCCAAGACATGGGCTTGGTCATCCCTAGAGAGACAGGACCTCAAATCCTATCATACAGATGGAGCAGGAGAATATTTTCCTCGCAGGTACCACTTGCCGCTGATGCCTCACCAGTCCCTCTCCCATTCCCCAAATCTTTTTCCCCCATCTCATCCACCTCTTAAACCTCAAACCTCCTTTCCTCCCAGCAAGCATTTGTATATGCAGTTTATTTTCTTTTCCAAAATATTTTGAACAGCCTTCAGCATTTACTGCTGTTCAGAGTACATTTTTGCAAAATTGAAAACCAGAAAAATCCTGTGACAGAGGCATGTTAAGAGAATAATTTGTCATCTTTTTTTATACTCTTCCACATGTTTGTCTGAGGGTTGGTAAAGGGCAGTTTCAGTCTGCCTCAAGCGACGCAGCTCATGTGAAAACCTTGCTCAGTTTTGTGAGTGTGCCATGTAATCTATTGAGTGTGTAAGCATCAGACATGCTACAGTCTTGACAACCAGCTTCTTTCTAATACCTTTCAATGTTGCTTCCGCAAAGCAGTTACCATGCTTTAGTTGTGGTAAATGCCCAGTGGTTGAGGCTATTGGGTATGATTAGATCCATAGTTTGCTTCCCATGATCACGCAAACATTTGGTAATGTCTGTCACCTTTAAGAAAAGTCTGGGCAGGGCTGTTCAGGGGGGCTGTATCTCTGGAAGTCTCTGTTCAATTTACTCCAAATTTGGAACAATAACCCTGCAGTTCTTGTACATAACCCTCCATGATGTTCACCATGTCCTTCAAATG